GCCTATTCATGTTATGTATATAATTAATTACCAAGCATTCTCTTTGTATTGATGCACATCTTGTGTCAAGTTTCAATTTTCTGAATTTCTATTAATGATTTGTTTGTTTTTCCATTTACCAATATATATATCAAATGATTATCCTTTTGCATGCTTTATTGTAAAGGTAATTAAATCGGAAGTGTGAGATATTGTTGTTAACTTATGTTTTAAAAAGCTGATTGAGGACAAAAATTATCTTGCTCTACTTAAGAGCATCTTAGCTTGCTCTTAGATTTTGGACTCAAAAAGATGTTGCTCGGGACAATTTTAAACTATTTATTCTTTTTGCTGCCAAGATATCTGATGCCTTGGTATTAATTCCTGAAGAATACAGCAGTTTTGTTGTAATTATTTGGTTTCTAAACCTAAAATGGCTTCATCCTTGCAGAAGAAATTTATCGTGTTATAGAGAGTGATGTGAATATGAGTGATGTGATTATCTTAAATCGGAAGGCTTTGAAGTCACTCACTCGCATTGTTCAGTCATGCCTGTCAGAGATGGGTGATAATTCTCTTGTTTTTCAGATGCTAGAGAAAGTGATACTTGAGCAAATGGCAAGTTGACTAAATAACTTAATTTCTCATGTTTTTTACATGGATGTCTTCTTAATTTTTATTATTTGGGATACTTTTCCTGTATTTTCTATTTGAAATTTACAATTGATTGTTTTTTTTTTCCTGATTATGGTTTTGTTTATGTTGCAGTCACAAATTCCTCCTCTAGACAATGTTTGTGCTATGCTTAGGATGCTTATTACACTGGACTCTAAAGCCACAATAATTTCTCAACAAGCTTTTATAAGCCTAGGCAATATCCTTCCGTGGTATCTGATAGACATTGTGCATGTAAGTTTCTTTTCTTTTCTTGCTACCATATCATGTTTATAAATGTCAGTAGCAATGAAGATGCAAGGCAACAAGATTATGGTACCAATATTCGTCTACCATTTAGGATATTTATTATCTTTCTAGTTTTATAACCCTTACGGTAATTCATGCATGCACTCGTTATCCTTGGGGAAGAGAAAGACATCTAACAAAGATGTTTTGGTTTATTGTTACATTGTTATTTTGTCATAGTAAATAGAGCATATCTTTTTTAGTTTGAATCAAATTAAATAAGAACCTTTGAACTTATCTTTGTGTTGTAAGTTGCTAGTTCCCTTGTCATTGTCTCATAGTTACATGTTGTGACACAAGAATCAATGAATTGGGATCTCTATGGATCTTATTCCTGTAATAAAAAGCCAACAAAATTATTTATTGTTTTTAATTGCATACTAAGGCTGGTCTAGAGGATGGAGATGAGGACGAGATGTCTGTATAATTATCAATTTGACATTACTAAGATATCTTGCTATGCAGATTTCTATATGTTTGCAGTCGTCTCACATTTTCTGCCCCCTCTGCATGAACTTTTAAATTGTTGCATAATGCTTCTGTGCATAGTATTTCTTTTCCAAATAATTAAGGTCCTTTGCCTTGTTGAGTTTTATCGCTCTCTCAGTTTTCTGCCTTCTGATGCAGTGCACTGCTGAAGAGGATAAGAAGGTCCCGGGTTCCATTTGTTCAAGTGCTTGCTGTTATTATCTTACTCCTTGCTTTGTCTTATTTGATAAAAGTCACGAACTTCTGAATGTTGTATTGAAAACATTGAGGTCATGGATAACTAAAAGTAGTTTGGCATGTTTAACTCCTGATCAAACCCGCTACACAACAGAAATTTCAAGTAGGGTAGATGCGGTCGTTTCCCTGCTTCAATTGATGCGCAAGGATGACAAAATTTGGCAAATCATATCTTCATTCAAGGCAGAGATTGACTGTATCTTGGAAAGCATCATCGTTTTACAGGTACTTTCATTTGCACCCTGAGGCTTGTATATCCAGAGAATCTAGTTTCTTTTTTTGGCGGAATACCTGTGTGCATCGTAGTGAGATCTTTAATTATTATCCGTCATATTTTCCTACTTTATTTATGCAGTCCTCGAAAGAAATCAGCATGACCATTGAAGGAAGGCACATGGTGCAATGTGCACTTGGTCGACTAAGGACATTGCATAGTGGCATGCAGCCAGTCTAGAGGGACGTTCCTAATCTAAGTAGGTGCCTTGTGAGTCTTCTACTTCATAACCATCTTTAGTTTTCGCATGCTTGTTTCATTCATTTATCGATAGGGCTCCCATAATTCATTCTTGTTTAGAGTATATGGAGCCCCTGTTTCTGGAATGTTCTTTTCATACTTGGAGGTGCACGTACTTGGGTACATACATAAATAAATTATCTGCGTGCTTTATATATATAATTTTCATTTTTAAATTATGAGAAACAAAGACTGTACGAAGTCAGAATGGTACGATATCATCGTCCATCAGTGGACAAGTGGTAAAATAAAAAACAAATTTTATAGGTTTATAGCTAAATGTTTTATTTTGTAGGTGGACATTTTAGATAAATGATTTGTATCATGTTTTTCGACATCTCTTTACATTTTGATTCCCAACATTGCAGCACTATCTAATTGTGGTGGAAGTGCAAGGACTGGGAAGAGAAGGAGATGATCAAGATCCTGACAGTAGTTTAGGGAATGGCTTCTGGATCAATGTTGGTCAACGGTCCTTGACTTGGTTGAGATTAGGTACTCGAAGACATGAACTGAATGCACGTCTCCGATGGCCGGCTTGTCTTCCTCATGAGCTAGATAGCAAAGCCATGATTATCATGCTAAGCAGATCAAAAGGAAAAGAAGAAAAAGAGTCGAACACCTAGCATATTTTTGGGGTTTTGGGTTATGTTGGGAGTCAGATTTTGTTGTAGAAAGTTTGGAACAGACTAACTGTTCAGAAATAATTTTATCTGAGACTCGAACACCTAGCATATTTTTGGGGTTTTGGGGTTATGTTGGGAGTCAGATTTTGTTGTAGAAAGTTTGAAACAGACTAATTGTTTAGAAATAATTTTATCTGAGACTGAACGGGGCCGAACTGGCCCGTTGCCATCCCTAATCTTAGTGTAATAGTTTCACTTTTTATCTTAATAAAATAACAAAATAAATTTCTTAGAAATAACAAATTATAAAGTCCTAATAGTTGGGATTCAGAGTCCAGCTCAACTCAACTTTAAATTAAAAGTAATTAAGGTCATCTAACATATTTTTGGTGCTAAGGTAATATAACTTTGATTTGTATATACAAATTAGTTTCATATCTCTATGATGTACTTGAATGTTCCAACTCATTATTATTATTATTTTTTTAAGAGAAACGCATAATTAAAATGGAAAATTATATATTATAAATTACTCTTATTTAAAGAGTATAGCCGTGCGGCTGTACGCTTTAAATATATTCGAATATTTTAACAGTATTGCTTACCGGCTGTACAGTTAAAACATATTAATATTTAAAGCGTATAGCCGAACGGCTGTACTCTTTAAATATATTCAAATATATCAAAAATATAGTTGCGCGGCGATACTGCACAAAATGGCTATTTATTTATTTATTATAATTAAGTAATAGCTTAGCTCTTTTTAATTACTTTAATTAGTAATTATTATTTCTGTACCATACTTCGGATTCTGAAAATCTTGAGGTTGAATTAGAACTAAGTGATTTGTTATTGAATTTGCGGCCTATTAAGCAGGTATTTCAATTGTTGTTTGATATTACAAGTTATTCTTTCCACTTGAATGATCAACATGTCATGTGTATCTTGTCTCTTGTTTGTATTTGTTCAGTAAAAGAATTTTGATTAGCTTCTCTTTAAATAATGCAGTATTGAAGCCTTGCGAATGAAGTAATCCCCTTGATTTATTCATTGAATGCTAAGATTATGGATTGAGTTTATTTTTCAACTCTGCCTCTCATAGGATATATAACTTAATTCGTGATGATAACAAACTGATATTGTTGGCGTCCCTTAGTGATTAATTGTAGTATGTAGAGGCAAGCTCTTATCTAGCCGGAGTCTATAATTTATTTTGGAATTTTCTTTGTATAAGAATTATTTATGTAGAGGCAAGATTCCAAACAGATAAGAATTATTTTATTTTTATTTACATATCTAGTGCATATGAAATTCAATATTTTACAAAGAAATTAGCATTTTTATTATAGATATCTATCTTGTCTATCTACTTACAAGATTTCAACTGTATTTTGTTATTTTTCATAAATTCAAGATTTTTGTTAAGAATAAAGATCAATACCAATGTAATATTTCATGTCACCAATCTTTATCATGTAAAGAGAGATACTCAAGAATTTCAATTATATATAACTAATGGAGAACTATAAGTTCCTTAGTTTTTATTCAATCATGTAAGGGCCAGAAGATCCTAAGATTTCAATCCTTATAATATAAATATTTGTGGACTTGAAGTCCCCCAATTCTTAAAAGGCAAATGAAGACCTGAAGCTCTTGGATTCATTTTTCGTTGGAACCAGAAGTTTCAACAATTTATTTTATTGTAATATTTTAATTTTTGTTGTATTTTATTTTTAGTTAGTTCTTTTCTTTAGTGTTATTTTTATTTTATGCAAGGACCCGAAGTCCCTAAATTATATAATTAAATAAAGACCCAAAGTCTCTTAGTTCTCAATCCATATAATATCTATATAAGGACTTGGATTTCTGCAATTCTCATAAAGTAAATCAAGACTTTGAGTTCTTTGATTTTTCTCCAACTTGGTTCCAGAAGTTCCAACAATTTATTTTATTTTTATTGTTATATTTAGTTATTTGTTTTCATTTTAATAATTTCTATTTAAGGACCTGAAGTTCCTCATATGACCTGAAGTTTAAATATCTTAGAACCCGAAGTTTTTATTATGTCTAATCCAAATTATAAGTTTCGGCAACATGTGCGTTAAAATAGGGTTCATCGTCAACGGACAGGCCCAAATCAAATGAACTGATCAAATTAAAGAATTGGGCCTCCTTTGTAGGGGTCTACAGAAGAAATATCTAGGGTTCATCGTCAACGGACAGGCCCGAGAAGGCTAGAATAATTAGGCGGGAAAATTAAATTCATTCTGGAGTCTACCAAATTTCTGGGCGCCAAAATCAAAGTAAATGATGATTGAGGCGTAATGCAATCAGATCGAACCCCAAATCAAATTCCACGCAATTCATGCAATGCAATCGAAGATCAGTGCCTTCTTCAAACCCTCTCCTTCTTTTTCAATAAAAGTAGCAGACGCACCTCCGACTTTGAGCGACGGAGACGACAACGAATTGGCCATCTGGGAAAAGACGCAGCACCAATATTGTAACACCTACAAGCGAAGAGATCGAAACCTTCAAAGGTATTTTGTTTTTTGTATTTTACTTGGGCTGGGTGTTGTTTGGGTGCTGAGAAATAGCGAGAAAAGGCAGAGGGCGAAAATGGATTTTTCGCTTTTCAGTTTATCTTTTTTTATATTTCGTTTCTGAGTTATTGAATCTACAAAGACGAAAGGTAAAAATCAAATAGCTTCAATTCAGAAATTTAGGAATTGGGTTTAGCGTGGATTTAATTTCTGGGGTTTTTCTTGCAGAAAATCTAGGATTTTGTAGGAATATCAGTAATGATTTACTGACCCTTTTTCGTTTTTTTTTTCTTCCCCTTTCCAATCTTTTCTTTGTGTAATGAAGGGGTGAAAGTGACAAAGTTTCAGTTAACCAGTTGGCGGAGAGACCCATTTTAGATAATAATTCTGGGAAGCCAAAATCATCCACATTGGGAAGAACAGTGGTGAAGAACAAGAAGAGAAGTTATGCTCAGTTTTATTTAGAGTTTGGTCAGTCTGATTTTAATCTGCACATATGTTCCACCTGTGGGGTCAAGTATACCGCTGGAGAAGAAGAGGATGAGAAGGCTCACAAGGCATTTCACAAGGACTATACCCGTGGAATTCAATTCAAGGTGCAAATGGTTTTAGATTATGTGTCTCCATGAGTTTCTTACGTCCATTTGGGTGCTTATTTTGTCAAAGTTGCTGACTATGTTTTGCAGGGATGGTGCAATGAAAGGGTTGTACATACGCCTTCGGCTGAAGGAGGTCGGATTGTTTTGGTGTTAGATTGTGACCCTCCTGCTCAGAGAAACAAGGTTCAAACTCAACATTCTGTTTTCTTGAATCTGATACTTTATGTAAATGGGGGCACTGTTTCAAGGAAACTCAAAGATTTGCTTAACTAAGCTACTGTTTTGTACTGGCAGGTTGGGGAAGTTGTGAAGATGATGGAGAGTGAACTTGGAAGTGGATGGATTATGCACAAGTTGTGTAAGGTGACTGACAATAACTCTTAGTCTTTTACTTAATGAATCAGAAAAACGCTACCAGAATCGTTGCTGCATCAAATGTCTAGAAAATTCTTGAACTACTATTTGTTTTTGCGTTATGTTGGTTCTTTTCACACTTCCATCTATTCAAGACTTGGCCATAGGACTTTTACGAACACAGTGGCGCCTTGTAATTCCACAATAGTACAAATGGCTATAGTCTTTATGATTATGTTTTCCCGGACCAGGACAATGTTGAATGCTTTGGATTTATTTTTCAAATTTTGTTTTGTAATAAATCCATCTGTCTTCTGACAATTTAGGAGTACAATAATGCTTTCGTATCTCTTTTTCTCTCTCTCTCTCTCTATGGTATGATTCAGCTATTAGCTCCATTTTCGGTGTGGTATCTCACCCTTATGTTTGCAGGTGTATCTGTTCATTTTGTCCCAAAGGATTGTTGGGTGTCTAGTTGCAGAGCCAATAAAAGAAGCACACAAAGTCCTCTCATGTGCAGTTAATGGAAGTTCTGATGGTACTACTACAAATGAACCAAAACTAACCACTCTCCAATTTGGGGATATCAGATTTCAAAGGGAAGTCATGAGAAAAGCCCCTTCTGTTCCTGAAGCTTTGAACGAGAATCTCAACGGTGCTATATTTTGTGAAGAGGAAGCAGTGCCTGCTGTCTGCGGCATCAGAGCCATTTGGGTCACTCAAGCTAACAGAAGAAAACACATAGCCACCCAGTTACTGGATGCCCTGAGGTAACTTCAACTCCTTGGTATTATTTCCTCTGGCTTTTCTTTAGGTGGGGAGTTTCTTTATATTCTCATCAAATGGAAACCAAATGTATGATATGGTAATGTTGTGGTTTGGATCCCAAGCTGCAAGCCATATCATGTCAGCTAACTTTAAGTAGATTTTAGCACAATAACTTGTCCAAGTTTCTTAAACAGAAATGTAAGTTCCTTTTGCTGGACAATTGACATTGAATTGCTTGCTTTTCTTGGTATTTGTTTGATTAACATTTTGCTGTTTTCTTACACTTTCTCTCTCACAGGAAAAGTTTCTGCATGGGATTTGTCCTTGAACACTCTCAATTGGCATTCTCTCAACCAACATCAGCTGGAAAGGCTTTGGCATCCAGTTATATTGGTGGTGGATATTTTTTGGTGTACAAAACCAACAATCTTAAAGGTCCAGATTCTATTTAAATGAATCTTCATTACAATTTACATGCTCGTTCAATTATAAAAGTACGAAATTAAACTTATTTCCAAGTTTTCATATTTTTTTGACGGAATCGAACCTAGGACCTAGAATGCAGGGGGTAAATGCTCGGTCAAGTTAGGTAAAAAGACAATGATTTCTCCCTCCTTGAACAGTTCAACAACAGAATGAATAATTCATAATAATATAACCAAATTACTTTTAATAGTGTATATTTAATGATTAATTAACACCCAGAGAAGGCTGCACATTGATATTTCCTGAGGCATTTGTAAAATGTTTTAGGGACCCCATAATGTTATATTGGTGGTGGATATTTTTTGGTGTACAAAACCAACAATCTTAAAGGTCCAGTTTCTATTTAAATGAATCTTCATTACAATTTACATGCTCGTTCAATTATAAAAGTACAAAATTAAACTTATTTCCAATTTTTCATCTTTTTTTGACGGAATCGAACCTAGGACCTAGAATGCAGGGGTAAATGCTCGGTCAAGCTAGGTAAAAAGACAATGATTTCTCCCTCCTTGAACAGTTCAACAACAGAATGAATAATTCATAATAATATAACCAAATTACTTTTAATAGTGTATATTTAATGATTAATTAACACCCAGAGAAGGCTGCACATTGATATTTCCTGAGGCATTTGTAAAATGTTTTAGGGACCCCATAATGCCTGGAGGCTGCAAACCTTGAGCATATTTATAATCAAATACAGAGAGAAAGAGAGGCCCAAAAAGCTTTATTAATTTAGACCTTTACAAAATTCCAAAGGGGTTTAAAAAATGAGAAAACAATTCCCCCGCATTTCTCCCGCACCCATTGGGAGGAGCAGCCTCCTCCATGGATGACGTCCAATTACCAAAAGAGATGTTTGAACAACCTCATTGACATTTATGGCAAGTGCCTACGTTTTTCCAAACCAGGAGGGCAATTAAGTCCAGTTAAGCAATAAAACGTAGATTATTTATCACGTGACCAACACGTGAAATGATGTTTACATGTAAAACGGTTAGCCTAACGAATATCATTCAAGTTACTGAAAAAAAGTCCAACTTTGGTAAAAGATATGTAACTTTTACTTGTACAAGCTATCTATATAGAATTTTTCAACAACAATTGACCCTCACTAGGCCTTATCTCTCTCCGCTTTATCACCAACTAACGCTTCGTCTAGTGAAATTTCTCTTCTTATTATTATTGTTAGAAATTTCAATTTTAAATTTCTTTCGATTAATTAAAGAATAAATAATATTTTTCCGGAAAAAAGGGTGGTTATAACTTATAGTTTTCATTTTTATATTTTAATTTTTCTTTAGGGAGTTTCAAAATTTTCCTCTGTTGTAATTGATGAAAACAAAGAACAACAAATTGATTAGGGCCAAATTTCTGACAAGTGTTGTTTGACCCATGCTGCCCAATGTTGTTCAATTCGGTTTAGGCCTCACTTGAACGTCACTGGTTGGCAAAATTTCAATGGCAACATTAGGATTGTCGTTCTTCTATTTAAACTAGCAGACAGGAGAAGAACGTGAAGATATGGAAGTGTATAGAAATGGCATGAATTGGTTTTTGCAAATGGGTACGGAAAGGGATGGAAGGAGCGGATTAGGGTAGGAACCAACACATACACTCTTGCTTAAGTTTTGTTTTAATCAATCCAAGAGGAGAAAAACTTACCTATACCCTATATCGGGGATACAACTGTGATGCTATCGCGAGCCAATTATCTATTGCCGTGTATTTGAACTTTCCAACATTAACATGCGTGATTGGTTCGGGATAACACCATAGGAACATCCATGTTACATGTAAGTTCTTCTCATCCAATAAGAACTTGAATTTAGAACCTCTCAATGGTGCACCTTGCTTCAACTCTCATGTTATTTTGGTGAAATAATTGGAGTTAGACTTTTTACCAAACTCAACGCACAAAGCGTAAAATGGTAACTTTCAAAGTCTATGAGCTCTTGCTCAAGTAACATTGGAGCTTGTTTTTATCAACAGAATAAGGACACTTGAATTTGAGACCTCTCTTCTTAATATTGATTTAAAATAAGAAATAGTAAATCACGAGTAAAGCAGTACAACTTATGTAAAATTTTAAATTTGTGATAAATTTGAGAAATGAAATTGAGTGTGATGATGAATTCGTGGGTGCTGCTGCTAAGTCTCCTAATTCAATGTCATATATTTTTAATTATTTAAATTTGCTTGAAACTAAAAAAGATAGTCTTTTTTATCTGGTCAGAAAAAAAAGATTTGCTACCATGACCAGACTGGGAAAATTCTACGGTGGACCTGGCGCATCCATGCGCCAATAGATATTGACCGTTAGATTTAGGCAAAACAATAAGGATAGTAAATGAAATTGAGTGTGATGATGAATTCCGTGGGTGCTGCTAAGTCTCCTAATTCAATGTCATATATTTTTAATTATTTAAATTTGCTTGAAACTAAAAAAGATAGTCTTTTTTATCTGGTCAGAAAAAAAAGATTTGCTACCATGACCAGACTGGGAAAATTCTACGGTGGACCTGGCGCATCCATGCGCCAATAGATATTGACCGTTAGATTTAGGCAAAACAATAAGGATAGATCTACACCATTAAATGATATAACTTGAAAACCTTCTCAGCAGGTTGAAGGAAAATCCCCAACCCGTAAAAACTGAGCCCCCTCTTTCACTCCCTTCATCTTCTTCTAGCATCCAGCAAGCAACCAACGACGACGACGATGATGGCAAGCTTCACCTGCTCTTTACCCCATCTCTCGTTCTCTCCTTCGCTGGCTAGCGCTCTGAAAATTTCCTTCTTTTGCCTCTTTTTCTTGGCTAGCCCTCTCAAAACCCATCTCTCTTTCTCCCTCTCTCTCTCTCTCTCTCTTGTCAAGCGCTACCTCTCTGGGTTCATTCTGCTTCTCTCATACCAAAACCCCCAAATCTCCAACATAAAACCCTAATCCTAGACACCTAAATCCCTTTCCAAAACTGAAATTCATTAGAAAAGGTAAGATTTTATCAATTTCATCAGTATTTCTGTCATATATGGCTGCAATTTATGGGTCATTGAAGGTTTTAATGTTAGATCTAGTGCCTATTTGTGTTAGAACTGAGTTTTTTTTGGGTGGGTGATGGAGATTGAAACTAATTTTTATTCGATGTTTGGGGCAAGGTCATGGCGCATGCTCTACCGTATCTCGTTCTTGGTGTGTATTCTTTACATGGTTTTATTTGTTAAAAATTATAGTGTTGTTGAGTTCATATATCTTGACAATTATTAGCTTGATGACTATCTTTATTTTTCTAAAAGATTAATGTGAATTCTTTTCTTGTGTCAGCTTTCATTTCATATTTTAGAGTTTTTATCACTTTTTAATCTTTTCTTTTTATAAGATTACATTTTCCCTTTGTATAAAGTAATTAGTGTTTTTAATAGGAGAAGCTGCGTAATTGTTGAAGCTGCCATTATGGTTTTTGTTGTAAAAATTTCAAGGTTAAGGCAATTCAATTTTAGTTATGCCTTTATGACTTTTATTATATATTAAATTTCATAGTTGGTCATTTTAGATTAATATTCTTTCAATAGTAAATAGCCACATTTGTATGAAAACTTGATCATATTTGCACTTTAGTCTCTTAGGAAAACAGAAAGAGAAAAAAAAAGTAAGTCTTAAAGGAGAAAAAATGATTAGAAAGATATTCAAATTTTTTGCTGTAAGTCCAGTTTAATGGCTGTGTTGAAATTATATAAAGACAATATCTAGTTTGAGGTTTCTTGTTTGTGGATGTGGGTGTCTGAATCTAACAAAGTTGTGATTCCTTTCATTGTGAAATAAGGAAGTCAGTATGGGTTTTCCTCAAAATCTGGCCACTTCCTGATCGAATTGGACTTTGAGCCAAGGTATAAACTTGCTCCCCTTGTTGTGCTTGATGTGTTGATACATATGGATTCTGTGATTAAGTTTTTCTACACAGATGGTTGAGACTTTATGTTATTCATCTTCTTAGACCACTTTGGACTTTAATATTCTTTTTCATGGTCACACCGGAGCTCTAATTTTTGAGACTTCAAGTCACTGTAAAAAAACATGGCCAACCTTTGACGCACTTAATTGAATTGTGCGACATGATGAGAATTGAATTATGTTATCGAAAAAGAAAAATCCTTGTTATTGGGTGAGAATTTTGTAGGATTTACTTCATATATGCCCAGAGAAATTATGAGAAGTTGAGAACTTTTGTACACAGCACATATATATGTTGATGAGGAGATACACTAAAATTTAAAATGATGTTATGTTTGAATTTTTCAGCTGTATTTCGAATTTCGAATTTGGTTTATAATTTCATGAATAAGCAGCCAACCTTTGTGTTTTGGGTTTGAACTGTGATAATTGGGTTTTAATTATCTTCTTTGGGTTGAATATCTGAGTAGTTTTGGGTTGTGTTTTTGGAACCAACTCTTCTATCAGTTTATCATTGTCAGTATTTGTCAATTAACTAGAAATGACTTTTATTTTCAAAATTTATATCTTTAAATGGGTTGGAGGGCCTTTTCTGATGCCCTTGTTTCTCTTTGAGTAGGTGCAACATATAGTGGCCATAACACACATTGAAGACACAGCGACAACTTCGCAGCCCTTGTTCGACGTGAAGGGATGCATACCCATGCAGATCACTAATTGTTTGACGTGAGCGCATACTGACCCAAAAATTGCAACCCATCAGATTTCGCGATACACATTATTGTCATATCTATCCCAAAAGGTACAATAGCTTTATTAGATGGTGATATGGTGATTATTATTAGCTCATTTGATTGATTATTGGCATTTTTTTTTTTGTGTCGAACCTAGGACCTAGAATGCAGGGGGTAAATGCTCGGTCAAGTTAGGTAAAAAGACAATGATTTCTCCCTCCTTGAACAGTTCAACAACAGAATGAATAATTCATAATAATATAACCAAATTACTTTTAATAGTGTATATTTAATGATTAATTAACACCCAGAGAAGGCTGCACATTGATATTTCCTGAGGCATTTGTAAAATGTTTTAGGGACCCCATAATGCCTGGAGGCTGCAAACCTTGAGCATATTTATAATCAAATACAGAGAGAAAGAGAGGCCCAAAAAGCTTTATTAATTTAGACCTTTACAAAATTCCAAAGGGGTTTAAAAAATGAGAAAAAAATTCCACCGCATTTCTCCTGCACCCATTGGGAGGAGCAGCCTCCTCCATGGATGACGTCCAATTACCAAAAGAGATGTTTGAACAACCTCATTGACATTTATGGCAAGTGCCTACGTTTTTCCAAACCAGGAGGGCAATTAAGTCCAGTTAAGCAATAAAACGTAGATTATTTATCACGTGACCAACACGTGAAATGATGTTTACATGTAAAACGGTTAGCCTAACGAATATCATTCAAGTTACTGAAAAAAAGTCCAACTTTGGTAAAAGATATGTAACTTTTACTTGTACAAGCTATCTATATAGAATTTTTCAACAACAATTGACCCTCACTAGGCCTTATCTCTCTCCGCTTTATCACCAACTAACGCTTCGTCTAGTGAAATTTCTCTTCTTATTATTATTGTTAGAAATTTCAATTTTAAATTTCTTTCGATTAATTAAAGAATAAATAATATTTTTCCGGAAAAAAGGGTGGTTATAACTTATAGTTTTCATTTTTATATTTTAATTTTTCTTTAGGGAGTTTCAAAATTTTCCTCTGTTGTAATTGATGAAAACAAAGAACAACAAATTGATTAGGGCCAAATTTCTGACAAGTGTTGTTTGACCCATGCTGCCCAATGTTGTTCAATTCGGTTTAGGCCTCACTTGAACGTCACTGGTTGGCAAAATTTCAATGGCAACATTAGGATTGTCGTTCTTCTATTTAAACTAGCAGACAGGAGAAGAACGTGAAGATATGGAAGTGTATAGAAATGGCATGAATTGGTTTTTGCAAATGGGTATGGAAAGGGATGGAAGGAGCGGATTAGGGTAGGAACCAACACATACACTCTTGCTTAAGTTTTGCTTTAATCAATCCAAGAGGAGAAAAACTTACCTATACCCTATATCGGGGATACAACTGTGATGCTATCGCGAGCCAATTATCTATTGCCGTGTATTTGAACTTTCCAACATTGACATGCATGATTGGTTCGGGATAACACCATAGGAACATCCATGTTACATGTAAGTTCTTCTCATCCAATAGGAACTTGAATTAAGAACCTCTCAATGGTGCACCTTGCTTCAACTCTCATGTTATTTTGGTGAAATAATTGGAGTTAGACTTTTTACCAAACTCAACGCACAAAGCGTAAAATGGTAACTTTCAAAGTCTATGAGCTCTTGCTCAAGTAACATTGGAGCTTGTTTTTATCAACATAGTAAGGACACTTGAATTTGAGACCTCTCTTCTTAATATTGATTTAAAATAAGAAATAGTAAATCACGAGTAAAGCAGTACAACTTATGTAAAATTTTAAATTTGTGATAAATTTGAGAAATGAAATTGAGTGTGATGATGAATTCGTGGGTGCTGCTGCTAAGTCTCCTAATTCAATGTCATATATTTTTAATTATTTAAATTTGCTTGAAACTAAAAAAGATAGTCTTTTTTATCTGGTCAGAAAAAAAAAGATTTGCTACCATGACCAGACTGACCAATATTGGCCATTAGGACCTATGACGTACATCATCGTTGGTTTGGCAGGATAGACAAATGAGAAGAAGAAAGAGGTGACGTGACGGGTAGAAAGAAATGGGAGAAGCAAGAAAACAAATAAATGGTAATATATATTTTAATATTTTTTTTCTATTTTCATTGTAGAAATTTGATTTTCCCAGAAAAAGAAAAAAGAAAAAATCAGGACCTGATTATTTTGATTGTATTTTTTGTTGCTTCCTATTTAAAAACAAAACATCAGGACTTGATTTTTCCTCGTATAAGAGTTTATTATAATAATAAAAATTGTCAGTGCATCAAAAAAAAAGAAAAACGGAATTGTCAGAGTTAAATTAAATGTAGGTACTAAAAAAGTTAATTTCTGAAACAGGAGCCGAAACGCGCCGTTTTCGATTGCTTGGGCCCCAAGCCTTCAGTCATTACATAAAAGGCATGTGTGTGCTCTGGAAGATACGATCGCCCTGGCTCCTCACGAAACATCAAAACTTTTATTACTTAAATACCCCTACCTCCTTACCGTATTTACTACTTCCGTCCTAAACCCCACACCTCTATATAAAACCCCTTACCCCTGTTCATTTCTTCTTTCCACAAACACCAAAATTTCTTCTGATTTTCATTTCGAGCTTCAAACTTAGACGAATCCAAGCTCCGGAATCTGACGTCATCTTGCCGGAAACCGCTGGGAAGATGGTGGAGGCCCCCAGAGACAGAGGCGTCTCGTTTCCGATCGTCTTCTCCGACGGCGAGACCGAGACCGATATCGGAAACGTCGTCGTTAACGACGCCCTAGAGTTCAAGCTGTTCCTGTCGCTCCTGAGCAACAAGATCGGAATCTCGCCGCACCAGTTCACGGTCTTCCTCTCCTCGCCGGACACCCGCCGGCGAATCCCCATCACCGGCAAGGTCAACTTCGGCGCGATTTCTCGCGAGAAGAACTGCTTCTTTCTCGTGGAGCTAAAGCGGTCGAGACGCGAGAAGCGGCGTTCCAAGAATAGCCAGATTCAACACCACCACCACCAAGATTTTCAAGAAAACGAGTACGACAACACGGCGTCGTTCGGAGCTCACAATCCGGTCAACAAGAGCCTCAGTCTTGAGAACGTTATGCTACTGAGGCGGGGTATGGAGATCGAAAACGTCACCGGTTTGGGTTTTCCGTTTGCGGGTCGGGTGGAGTACGAGAATCGGATCAGGGAGTTGCAGATGGAGAAGGAGAGATATTTGATGAACATGGGCCTGGGAAGATCGGATGGGCTTGGGCTTGGGCTGGGCCGAGGAGGTGGCGTAGCGGTGGTGTGCGAGGAGTGTTCAAGAGCAAAAGCGATGGGGAGAGAAGTCGGATTCCACTGGTGCGCTTACGACGCTGTGACTTTCGGGTTCAGGTCTCCGGCGGGTCCGATTT